GAGGCCAGCCTGGGCTACATAGTGAGTTCAAGGCCAGTCTGGGCTTAGACCCTGCCTCAACAATGTAAAAAAAAGAAAGCCAGGTGTATTAACACACACCTGTAACCCCAGATTTTGGGAGACTGAGACAGGAGGGTCACCACAAGTTTGAGGCCAGCCTGGGCTACGTACTGAAACACTGTCTCAAGAAAAAAGTCTCCTCTAGGGAAAGTAAATGTATCACAGAGGTGTAGTTCTAAGAGCATCATACTGGACAAGAGGTTATTTTGATGAAGGTAGTGTATGGGCTCTGCAGCCCTCATTACCACTTAGCCTTCACAGTCAAATTCACTATAAAGTCCAGTGATCTGGGACCAGCTGCCTGCTTGGTGAGAAAAAGGACACTATTCAGAGAGCCAAGGCGTCACCGTCCTGTTTGCCTTTACCTTTGCTCTCTTTGTTCCAATTCAATATTTTTCAGGAGGAAGGGAAATTCAGAATACTACTTATGAACCCCACTTTCCCCAGGGAATTGGTTTCACTAGAATAGATTCTAAAGCATGTTGACAGCACAGGCCAAACAAATTTACAGAAGAAAGTTATGATATAGTTATAAAGGACCAAATACCTCAATGCATATAAGTAATATGTGCAAATTAGTTTAGTTTTGTTTTAAACACAGGCCAGCCACTCTGGTGGTGCAGTCCTGTAATCCCAGCATTTAGGAGACAGAAGCAAAAGGATATCCACAAGTTTGACGTTATATAATGAGTTTAGGGCCTGCCTGAACTGTATAGTAAGACTCTGTCTCAAAAAAAAAAAGTTGAAAAATGACCAAAGATGTAAAAAGGCCATTTGATTGTAGGTAGCTTTTAGACAAGAGAAATACAAACAACCTTATAAAATGTGTAGTCTCATTTATAAGTAAAGAACTAGAAGTCAAGAAAATGGTATTTCACCTTTTACCCGCAGACTATCCAATTCACAATTTTTCACGAGAAAGGGAAACATTAATTATGAGAACAAAATGTAAACTTATTGGTGATCGATATTAATGCACATGCTTTTTTTGACCCAATGACTTCATTTTTAGATTAAAAACTCCCTTTCAGATGCATTGTTACATAGATCCATAACAATAAAAGCAAATCTGTTTATTCCTTCATTGTATGACCGGGTTAAATTAGCCTAATTGATAAGGAATCAAATAAATTGGTATGTTTATATGATGGTTTACTATATAGCAAATACATGAAATGAGATCAATATGAATGTACACATATGGAAAATGTTTAAAATATGGCATAATAATTCCTTTGGTGCTTTAAAAAGATGTATTTGTGTGTAGTAGAAAAGGTTATTTTTCCTTTAAGTTCTGGACCATCTTACTCTGAATATTTCTGTAATTTAACAACTTAAAAAAATTAAAAACCATTTTTGCAATATAAATGTGGTATATTATTTATGTTAGCTAGATATATAACTGTTCTTATAACTAAAAGTAAAAATGGCCTAAAAACATTTCAAATGTAAGTAGCTCAGTGTTGAGAATCCTGTCATTTGAAAGGTCTTGGGCTCTCTTGTTAACTTTGCTACTCCTAACATGCAGCTTCTATGCTGCAGTCGAAAGTGTAGCTCCAATATAATTGAGAGGACAAAAAGTTCATAGTCTAAAATAGGGCTATTGGTACACATCAGGGGTCGAGTGCTTACCCAAGGCCACAATTTCCATTCCCACCTCAATGTACAAAAAATGTGTTTCGTGTGTACTTCAATGATAGAGCATAGTCAAGGCCCTGGATTCAACCCCAGCAATACACACACACACACACACACACACACATACACTATACTTGTTTCTTGAAAAGCCTTTTATTATGTGTTTCTGTATGCATTTCTAGACATGTACACACATGAAGCATTAGATGCACCATGTTCTTTCTTCACTAACTGAAAAAAATTTGTTGTTGTTCTGGTGATCGAACTTGTGACCTTACACTTCTGAGGCAGGCCCTTAAACCACTGAACTATATCTCCAGCTGAAATTCTTTTAAAAATCCAATTTTTAAGGTGAATAATCTTGTTAAAATGCCGTTAAAACTGTTCTTAAATATTTTTTACAAGAGTCATTAGGAAAAAGTTATTAGAAAACTTGCTGTTTTGTATTCTAGAATAAATAATAGCATGTGTTTGTAAACTCATTCTTGCTGATGTGGGCAGAGAACATTTGTGAAGGGATTAAAAAAAAATAACAGATTTACTGAGTGGTGGGGCTGGTGATTAAAAGGTGATATTTAGGAAAGATCATTTTTACTCTTTATTATTCCTATACTATTTGAATTTTTTTAGTCTGTGTGTATTTTTGGTAATTTTTTAAAAGCTGCTTAAGCATTTTTATTTTTTTTCAAGTTTTGGTTAAAAATGTACTAAATGGAGCTGGATATGGTGACACATATCTGTAATCCTGTACTTTTCATGTCTGAAGTAGAATTGCAAGTTTGAACCCAGCCTAGAAAATTTAGTGAGATCCTATCTCAAAGCTAAAAATAAATACAGCTCTGTATGAAGACCTTGTGTTCAATCCTCAGTATGTACCAGTACCATGATCAAAAGGGTACTAAGTGGAATGTTTTCTTTATTTTATTGTTAGAATTAGTCCCTGAGGTCCACAATTTTACCAAAGAAGGTTGTGTGTCCTCACCAGTTACTGGGTCCACACACACCACCTGAGAGGCTTAGGGTGAAGCAACCAGTCCTGTTTCCAGACCTCACCTAGCCCATCACCCCCTGCCCTGGTGTGAACCATCCATGGGCAGCCTACTGGAGAATGGAGCAGCCTTGCTCAGCTTAACCTGCAGCCAACAGAAAGCAAACTGAGAGCTTTGGGCTTGCCTGGAAGGCAGGTTCATTCTCTGCTGAATGTTTGTTGAGCTGTGAGTTTGTCCTGGTGCTGTTACCAAAATGGAAGCAGATAGGTCCGGGGAAGTTTGCGGTACATGTACACTGCAGAAGGGGGAGGCTAAGAGCAATAGGAGCAAGTGCGAGTGAGCAACGCAGGTGAGCCTCAGGTTTAGTTGTCAGTTTAGGAGTATATCATTTCTACTTGTCAAATGTCCTCCCGCTTCCCCATTAAAAAGACCAGGGTACAATGGGCTGATGGCACATGCTTACATCTCAGCACCCTGGAGGCTGTAGTGATCCCCGGGGTTCAATGCCAGCCTGAACCTCAGAGCAAGCCCATGTCTCAAAAAACTTACAAAAAAGAGCCAGGGTTACATTTGTGTTAGTCTACTAAAGAATATAATGCAGGGCTGGCAAGATAGCTCAGCAGGCTTTTTTGAGACAGGGTCTTGCTATGCACTTCAGGTTGGCCTTGAGCTCACTTTGGAGCCCATGCTGGTCTCAAACTTGCAGTGATCCTCCTGTCTTAGCCTCCCAAGTGCTAGGATTACAGGCATGTGTCACCACATGGGCCCAACAATAAAAAAAAAGAATTTCTAAAAAAGGGGTTACTTGCTATCCACTCGCAA